CTATCAGAAATGACCATGACAGAAATAATAGAAATAATTATATAAAATAAGAAGAAACATTATAAATTAATAATCAAATATATAACATAAAAAATAAGGAGGCATACAGATAACCAAGGATCATTAGGATACAAAAATAATCATTATATTCTAAGTAAAAGCAAACACAAGAATGATACAATCTTAAAATGTGAACACCACACTTGGATTATCTCATGGATCCTTCAGAGCAGGTGGAATTCATTCCTCTCCATTCCTCCTGCAATTCCAGAATACAGTCAGTGAACTTTAAATAATGCATCAACAGCCAACTGTTCAAAACCTTGATGTTCTGTAAATGTCTCATCATGTAAGACCAATGGACCCCTAAAGGAAAAATCATCAGAGAGGAGCAAAGAACTAGCTAGAAACACAGCAAATAATTACTTTTCTGTCTCTCTCCTCTCCTCCCTGAGGGGCATCTTATGGTTCTCCCTTCAAAGGAAAAAAACAAACAAACAAAGAACAGAAACTCAAACAAGAATGAAGAGACTATGATCTCCTTTACTGGCTATGTGTATTCTTGTCCAGTTTTTCATTCTTAATTTTCTCCTCACATGTTAAAGTGGACCTGAGGCAATTCATACTTTTATAAAAGCTGAAAATATTTGCAAAAGATAAATTACTTTGGCCTATTTAAAACTCTAGATTAATTTCAAGTGGGAGAGTGGGGAGAGTTTCATAAAAGGGATGAGCTGGGGCCTGAAGGAGGAATAAGAAAGAGAAAGCAAGAGGCAGTGTTTCGGGCTGAGGAATAACACAAACAGAACTGAGAACATCCAACGTCTATCCAATGAGCTGAGAGCAGAATGACTACAGCCCAGACCTACTAACACTATGATGTAAAGAGCCTTTAATAAACAGATGGGAAACCTGGAAGAGAAGCAGTTTGGGGAAACGAGATTAATTTAGTTATGGACAGATTAAGAGTTGCCCATGAAATACTTCAAATAATGTTATCAAGTAGGCAGTTAGAAATAGAGACTCGGGAAGAGGCTAGAGATCTAGATTAGGAGCCATCCCACACGTAGATCATGGTCAAAGCCGCAGAACAGGCACTTGGGACTAGTGTTAAATGAGCCCCAAGCTACCAGACACTTAGGTGAAAACTCCTAATCAAACATAGAACCAAATGTGGTGATTAATAATTTTAGATTGCCTAAAGGCAATGCAATGAATTCTGTAAACTAATTCTTCTGTTCAGAATAGATTTTCTTTTAAATATTGAAATTCTATATAGACACATATACAAACACTGCAGTTCAGGAGAGAAGTCCTCCGAGATCAGAACACTGCTGACCCCTGGGCCGCATTTTCAGTTTACAGCGTCTCTCTATGCACGATCTCACTGCATCTCCCTGCAGCAGGGCTGAGCTCACAAGGCTCAATGGCACTATTCTCCTTTTAGACATGAACAAACTGAGGCTGAAAGAGAAAACGACCTGCTCAAGTGGCAGAATCCAGACCCTGAACACTGGTCATGTGACTCCAAACCCAGCGTTATTACATCTGAGTGATCAGAGAAACGGATATAGCAAGAGGGTCTTGAATCTTCATGCAGCTAATAATCTCTGTCTATAGGCTGAATACTATTTTTCAAGTGCATAAGGAGGATTTTTCATTTTGTAGTTTTTAAATTTTAAGTCTTTTTTTCTTATAAAAATCAATACACGCTCATTGCAAAAAAGTTGTAATTTTACAAAACTGTATGGTATCACCCCAAAATCTCAACTCTCAAGGTATCTGCTATGAATAGTTTCGAGGCTATTCCACAAGATCATTTTCTCTATTTATTTTATCAATGCACATTAGGAGCTGCATAAATGTGTCATGTGCTGGAATATATTTACATACTTGCAAATGTTTCCACTGGATCGATTTTTAGAAGGAGAATGTTGAGTCACAGAGGAAACTTACATTTTAACAGCTATTGCCAAACTGCTTTCCAAAGAGGCGGTACCAATTTCTACTGACATACAATATGTGACTGACAAATCTGATTACTTAAAATGTAAAATTTCTACAACAAACAAAAAACATCATAAACAAAGTTCATGAAAAAAACAAACTGGGGCTTCCCTGGTGGCGCAGTGCTTGAGAGTCCGCCTGCCGATGCAGGAGACGCGGGTTCGTGCCCCGTTTCGGGAAGATCCCACATGCCGCGGAGCGGCTGGGCCCGTGAGCCATGGCCATTGAGCCTGCGCGTCCGGAGCCTGTGCTCCGCAAATGGGAGAGGCCACAACAGTGAGAGGCCCGCATAACGCAAGGAAAAAAAAAAAAAAAAAAAAAAAAAAAAAACTGAACAAAAGAGTTAAAGAGTTAATGTCAAAGAGTTAATTCCTTTCATATATGAAATTCCTTTCATATATGAAAATTTCTTACAAATAAAAAATTACAAATTAAAAAAATGAGCAAAGGCTATAAAAATAAGTATAAATACAAATGGTCAAATAGATATATAAACCAACATTTAATCCCATTCAGTAAACAAATCCAAATTAAACAAAAGCAATGTATTATTTTTACCCATCAAATTGGCCAAAATAAATTTAAAGGCTAATATATCTCACAGAGCATGGGGACAGGGAACCAAGATCTCTCGCAGACTGCTGGAAAAAGGATACTAATGGCTCAACTTCTGCAGAGCGTCTTGCCCAGGTGTGAACATTTAATGTATGTGGACTCTACCCAGCAATTCCACCTTTAGGAATTGATCCCGCATCAGTAACCAGACAAGTGCACAACCATTTATTTACAGTAATGTTCAATACAATGCTGAAAAGAATAGCAAAAGTGTGGAAACAGTCTCAATCGGTCTGTCAATCAGAAATTAAATAAAGTATGATAAAACCATACAATGGAATGTAATATAGCCATAACAATGATGGTGTGATAACTATTCACTTTACCATGGGAAAATGTCCATGATATTAAGAAATATACAGAACAATTCCATTTATATATATGTATATAGCCATAGGAAAAATTTCTTAAGATATATATATTTCAGAATAGCAATAGTAGTTATATCTACATGGAGGAATTACAGGTAATTTTTCAATATACACTTCTGTAATTGTTTTGAACAATATACATGTGTTTACTTTTTATATTAAAGAAGACACAAGAACATTTTCATTAAAAAAAAAAAAAGACAGGAAACACTGAAAAGTTGGGAATCAGTGGGCCAGAACCAGATGAGGTTATAAATCTTCTCACATTCCGAAATTCTATATAATAATTAAGGAAATATTTACTCTAGGGTGCTTTTTCATCATTAAAAAAAAACCTCCTCAAGATTTATTCTTTCCCCATATCTTTTGAGGAGACTAAAATATAAGCAATATAATAATTATAATTAACATGATATTTGACTTTTTAAATAATAATGTGGCTGTATCTTGGGAGTACAGAGAAGGGGTAGAGAGAATAAAGAGATGATAAAACCCCAGCCTACACTAAACCTTCCTCAGGTTTCAAAACTCCCAAAGAACATCAATGCAAATCTCCAAATTCAGGTCCTAGAGCCAGAAATGGGGACTCACTGTTCATAAAGATCTATGAATATAATATTATCCTATTAACAAGATATTACCATTCCTGGATTGTAACTGCACAAGAGAAGGCAAACACAAGTTAAACTTACATTTAACTATCAGATGGAATATACTACCTAAGCTTTACTCATCACAGTTTATAAAAAAGGTTTATAAAAGCATTACTCAAAATACGGTTTCAACCCTTACAGATTATATGTGGTAAAAAAAAGAGCAACAATTAAATAATTACCTCTCCTATGAAGACAACTATAACACAGTCCAACTTCTCTTCAGGATACAGATTATCAATAAGGGAATGAAGAGTTTCTATGAGGTAAGATTTAACTTCTCTCTTCACTGTGGGAACTCCCATTACTATTGAAACTGAAACAAAATAATGATAGTAATTATATTAAAAGATTTTGCAAAGACAATGCAGAAAAACACCACTGTTTTACAAGTATTATACCCTCTCAAATTGGTAGAAATAATAGGGGGATCAAAATATACTACATTGAAAGAAAGAAAAATAATCAAAGAATATGGGGCACACCTATTATACAGTAATTCTTTTCCACATGGCTTCTCCATAAGAAAGGAAATAATGTCAAAGAACTGATAAAGATGAAAGACATTAAACCACACGTTAAAAATGAAAGATGGTAAAGTATAAACAGATTTTATTATACAACTAAAACTTAGAAACATTAAACACATCTTAAAAATTAAAAGTCTCACATGTCATATATAAGATGTCCTAAGGAGGACACAACATCACTTCTGTGGTTTTCTTCCCAAATTCATAATCTCAATTTAACCATGAAGAAATATCAAACAAATCCAAATTAAGGGGACACTCCCCAAAGATCAGGAAAGACAGAGAAAGGATGAGGAACTGTCCCCGACTGGAGAAGACTAAGGGGACATGACAATTACATGAAATATGGGATCCTGAGTCAGATCCTGGAACAGATTAAATAATAATAAAAAAATGACAAACTCTAAGCTTAACAACATAGCATCAATGTTAATTTCTTGGTTTTGATCATTGTACAATAGCTATATAAGGTGTGAACATTTACGGAAACTGGGTGAGGTATATGGAAACTGGGTACTATTCGTGCAACTTTTTTTAAGTCTAAAATTACAGTCAGTTCTACTATAATATGCTTGTTTTGAAATGCAAATTGTTCCTACATGATTAATACATTAGAAAACAATCTGAGCATGAAGTCAATCTCACATTTGCTTTTATGCAGTTTCTCCCCTGGGACAAACACTCACTAGGTGAACACAGAAAATGGTACCCATTTGAACTGAGTTCAGAATACTGAACCAAGCCATGTGGAAATACCCAAAATGCACAGCTGCCTCAGTTCACTGCATGCTGTGAACCACAGCTATCTACACCTGGTGTTACGACTTTCTGCCAGATTTCAGTCAATCCGCTTTGTACCACAAAAAGCTTCCAAGCTGCAGAGTCCTTCTGAAGCCCACTTTAACAAGCAAACCTCAAGCCTTTTTCAAGGTAGAATACCATATTTATTGTATTTATGCACTTCTCCATCATTTAATACGTGCAAAATTGTGCCACTGCTTTTATTAGCTTATCTTTTCTTTATGTGTAACTGACAAAGCTTTTGAGTGTTGTGATCTTAACCCCATTTTTCTCCTTTTATTGCACAATTTTGCATAGCACAGTAATATTTAGGAACACATATGTTATATTAGAGTACTTCAGTTAGTTTTTAAATGTAATATCTTTAAAAGTCTTAGGGACTTCCCTGGTGGTACAGTGGTTGAGACTCCGTGCTTCCACTGCACGAGGCACGGGTTCAATCCCTGGTCGGGGAACTAAGATCCCGCATGCTGCACAGCGTGGCCAAAAAATTTAAAAAATAAAAACATAAAATAAAAAAGTCTTAGTATCCTAAGTGTTACAGATCAGTAGAGAATTATTTTGCAAAAGTTAAAATTAAGTCTTAATTATGTAACAATTTATTGGAGATACTACAAAACACTTAGAGGCCACAGAATTCTAAAGTTAGAAGGAAGTGTAAAGATCATGGATCCATGATTCTACCACCATGATTCTGCAGTTCTAAGGTCCAAATAGCTTAAGGGAGTCCCCCAACTTTCCATACCACATTCCTCTCTTCCATTTTGGGATGAAGAGTTTCCAAGGGCTCAAAAAAGAGATTTACTATATTTGTTCTGAACATGTGTACTGAATACTTGTTAAATGCAGGGCATTATTTTAGGTGTTAGGAATATAACAGCATAGATAAGGTCCCTGCCGTCATGAGACCTTTCTTACATTCTACAAGAGGGAAAAAGATAAATAATTTTAGAGGGCGGTATGTAGTATATGAATTAAAACATGCCAATATTAGAAAGAGGCGGGGGGGAAGAGGAAGTACCTCTACAGATAGTGCAGTCATGGAAAGACTCTGTGATATCAACTGAGCTGGTACTTAATGATGAGAAAGAGAAGAGAAAGAAGATGAGGAAACAGCTAGGTGCTGAAGAGAGGATGATCTGAACAGTCAAGCAACAGCAAGAATAGAATGTCTCTAAAGCAGAATCAGCCTAGATTCAGAGGAATTAGTTAGGGATCTGATCACATATACCCTTAAATTTAGTTTTAATTCTGAGGGCAAGAGAAAGGCACTGTAAGGTTGTAAGCAGGGGAGTGACAACATCCAATTTGTAATTTTAAAAGATTACCAAATTTTATGGAGAATAGACATAAAAGTGTTAACAAGTATAAAAGTATTTTGGAGAGATCAGTTAGGAAGTTACTGCAGTAATTTAAGGAAAAGATGTGGTTTGAATTAGGATGTTTGAAGTTGGAAATGAGTGAGCAGATCTGGGATCCACTGTGGAGACCCTCACCAATGGGGCTTATGGCTGGCAGAGATAAGGGAAGGGGAGGGTCGAGGATGACCTGAGTAAGTGGACATGGGATCTTCTACTGAGAATAACACACATGAGGGGGAAAGGGCTCCCAATCAAGATTTCTGTTTTGCCCATGTTACTCTGAGATGCCTAGAGACAGGATGAGTAACCCTGGAAGCAAATTTCCGTATACTTTAATCTACCTCAGAATTTTAAAATATTTAGAATATACATTAAAAGAGTATAAACTATGCTATGAAGCATTTCTATGAAATGTTAACACATGTGAAGTTCAAAAACTTTGTTCACAGAAAAAACAAAATCCATGCTGACCCTAGCGTACGCAAAGAAAAATGGCATAAAGTAATAATGCAAATTCTCTATTCCCTAGCAGTCTTAAGTTGTTCTGTTTCTGTTTTAAGTTTGGATGGCATGTTTAGAGAAGCCACCACTTCTCCCAAATAGACTGTTTTGGAGCTGAAATTTAAATTCTTTAGTTTAAACCAAGGCACTCAAGGACTCCAAAAGCACTAAAAAGGAAAGTACTAATTTCGGCTAAATCTACAGAATTAAGAGTATCCACCCTAGGGGTAATTCACAAAATACCACCAAAAAAAGACAGCTTTTCCTGCCTTCTGGGCATGTTGTAAGGTCCCCTTAGGTTGGGGAGCTGGGGGGAGGGGATGTGACTAGTAACAGGGCTTCCCTGGTAGCGCAGTGGTTGAGAGTCTGCCTGCCGATGCGGGGGACACAGGTTCGTGTCCCGGTCCAGGAAGATCCCACATGCCACGGAGCGGCTGGGCCCATGAGCCATGGCCGCTGAGCCTGCGCGTCCGGAGCCAGTGCTCCACAACGGGAGAGGCCACGACAGTGAGAGGCCCGCATACCGCAAAAAAAATAAAAATAAAAAAAATAAATTAATTTTTAAAAAAATCTCTTTCTCCTTAATAAGAATGTTAACCACTGAAAAGCTGGTTGACCAAGATTATATTTATGATGGATAAAGTCATAAACAAATGGGCTAGAATAAGCATCTTCAAAAAAGAAAGAGAATGTCACATTCATAAAATAAGAGCTGACTATAAAAGAACTTACTACAGACCTTGGAAGTTTTAAATAACTTTAAAAATACTTCTACTTCCTTTTCATTTGCTTCTTATTCATGAGGAAATAGTCTAAACCAAAAAATGCATGAAATGGCGAAGGCAACTTACCCAAATAGTGATTATTAAAGGAAGAGACACACTATCAACTTCAGAAATAATTAATGATCAATGTTTTAAAGAACATAATTTAGAACATACTACATATCTTATTAATCTTTGTAATCCAGTATGTACCGTAAAAATAAATATTTCTTGAATCAATAAAGACATGGAAGAATGAGTTAGTCTGAACATAATTTAAGAAGTATCACCTCCATAGGAAAAGTGTATAATTTTAAATGATTCATAAAACAGAAAGATGGCAGAACTAAAAAATGATGAATGTGAAAACTCAGAATATCGAAAACCAGTGAGATACCTAAGAATCCTATTGAATCAAATGGAGACTGAATCAGCTTTTCAAAAACATTATCATAAAGATGCATTTCAATACCTAAGAGGTAATGATTTTGTCATTTGTTAAAGATTTAGGAGCAAAATAATATTTTTGCCTCTACATCCTAAAATCTACAAAGAAAAGATTAACAAAGTCAAAGTGGAGAAATAAAAAGTATGAAAGAATCATATATAAGTCCCACAAGGAAAACTCAAGAAGCTCTGGTGACTCTAACAAGAGGAGAAAAAAATGCCATAGATTATCTTTTAGGTATTTTGGGGAAAAGATGCAAACCAAATTATCTCTATTACTGCACGAAAGGTTAAATATAAGTGACTATATACTTATATTTCTGTAAGAAAAGTAGGGGCAGACACATGAAAAACTTTCTTGACATGACTGTAAGAGATATTAATGTTGAAATAAGAAACAAGAAAAAAAAGTTATTTCTTTACCTCTCAAGTTTTTAAAACAGAAAAGTTTAAACATTGTTTTGCCTGGAGATAGGGCTTGAACTAGATGTCTCATAATCCTTTTCAGCTCTATTACTCTGGTTTTTGGAGAAAAATATCCAACTCCCTTCAACATGGAGTTTAGAATGACTCCTAAGTTACTACGCACAGATCAATAACTTTTTATTCTTTAACCTGCCTTTTTAAAAAAATTAATTTATTTATTTTTAACATCTTTATTGGACTATAATTGCTTTACAATGTTGCATTAGTTTCTGCTGTATAACAAAGTGAATCAACTATATGCGTACATATAGCCCCATATACCATCCCTCTTGCATATCTCCCTTCCACCCTCCCTATCCCACCCCTCTAGGTGGTCACAAAGCACCAAACTCATCTCCCTGCGCTATGCAGCTCCTTTCCACTAGCTAGCTATTTTATATTTCGTTGTTTATATATGTCAATGCTACTCTCTCACTTTGTCCCAGC